CACACAACCGCTTAGCCGATTATATATATATGTAGTATGAGTAATACCAGGCTGTTGATGGGATAAAAATCCGGATTATTACATGAGATATTTTTCGCATGGCTAGATCGTATTTGAAATGGCTCTAGAATTCTGAATGGAATGAGACATGTAGCGCATCCCGAAAAAGGGTTGATCAACCCTAATGTGTTGGCCCTCGATCATTCATCCATTCACATGATCCTGGATGAAGGTGCATCATGTTAAAAATGATCAGAATGAGTAATCCAGCCCTATCCTTATAATGGATGGAGATAATGAAAACCGGTCTACTCTCGAGTCTGATCTCGTACCATCCAACCAAGCTCCCTCCGATCCGATTAGACATTAATTGCAAGCTACACATCCTGGTAGCCCACAGATGGGCCAAACGCGTAAAATGCTATTATCCAATGTTCAAGTAAATGAAAATGAGATGAGTAGCACAACTCATGAAAAAGGAGTTGATTGGCAAACAACTTATTTTGTGATGGTAGGTAATATAGATAGGGTAGGTCGATGTAAATTCAGTGTTTCACCTTAATTCAATCGAAAAACAATAATCCTATTCCGGAGGGATTGAAGGTTTGAGCTGAATTGGATTCGCTTCCCCGAGTATACTGGCGCAACTTTCCAGGATATTAGGTATTCTCAAATCCAAAAAGAAACTGCTCGTCGTTGTCCAGTTATGAACTACTCTCCTCCTGCTCAGAATTTATAGGTGCGGGTCCTAATCTAATTGTTGTGTTATTACTCCCGACAATGACACAAAACGTGGGAAAAGGAAGGTCAGGGGAAAATCGCCGAAAGAGTCATGTAAAGCACTGGACTTATGCGCCTCTTCTTCTTGTGAGATTGGGCACCGCGGTACAGCGGGGACACAGCGCGGCGAGGAAGGGAGAGGTACAAGAAGCCCGCCATACAGAGGGCGAGCGAGTAAAAGTGGTGGTGGCCACAGCGCTCAGGGTAAGGTCTTGGCGCTTTTGCGCGCACTTCAGAATAGCGACAGCGTCATGACTTCTGCCTAGGAAACCTGTAAGCTTATGGAGAGATCGCTCTAAGGATCTAGTGGCGACCCAAGCCTTTGAAAGAGGGTGGTCGCAAAAATCGCCTCCCCCCCCTCGTTAAATTAAATATTGTTGGCTTACAGTACGGAATGTATCCACTCCAAATAACAACTGTTTCGTACATCTGAATGGTCTAACTAAGAGGCGAATTCAAGAACTTGGAAAGGTGATGCGTCCACGTTTGAAGAGTTCGCCGTACTCTCGGATGACGACAGGTATGCGAGCATTTCATACAAGTGTATGGAATTGTTCTTCGGAAGAAAAAGATAAAAAGGACTTTTCAACTGATCACCGTCCACAGTAAGAACCTTTTTGAAGTTCTTTCTGAAGATTGGGTACGAGTTTGTAGCGAAGAAACATCATGTGTTGAAAGTAGGGAAGATAGAACGAGTGGACAAGAGAGCATGGAAGCGAGTGAGACGCAGCTTGTGACGTCAGTCTGACCACGTGCTCAATGAGAGGTCGCACATTTCGGGCGACAGAAAAAGGAACACAATTACTGAAGGGCGGAGCGATTTTGATGATGTCACTGAGCGTGATCGGTGGAAGGAGGTCAGCAGGTGGTCCCAATCACGTCCCTTCCCAAGGGTTTGGTTCTCCAATGACGCTACCAACGTCATCAAAAGCGCTCCACCCTTCAGCCATTGTTATCATTGCCTTGAACGTCTTTCCCATACATTTTCAGCAGCGATTAGGAAAGAACCTTTGGACTTGTGGACCGGCCTGTTTTACCCACGCAAGCGATTGTTCCAGCAAGCTCATCGTGAAATGTGCGAATTTCAACAATACTGTATCCACTTTCATTTCTATCCATTTCGAAATTAAATGGAAAAACTGCTTGGGAAGCGGTTGACGCAATGTGTGCAACGGTGGAATGTCCCGGTGCGAATCCCAGGCAGAGATCTTTGACGGGCATGGGGCCTTGAAGTCAGTGGTCACGATGGCGGAAGGCGGTTCGGTGGTGATGAGGTTAATGAATGTCACCGATAAAGAGGCGACCCCACCACACTCCCATCCGTGGTGCCCAGTTAACCAATGATGTTGTCAGAACCGCACCACCCTTCAACCATCGTGATCACTGCCTTTGAGAGGCCATTGAGTAACGAGAAATCCCATAAACACCCCCATCGGAACTACGACCTCATGCTTGATTGAGCCTGTAAAATAGGTTCGAGAGCGCACGTTTCTGTAGGCACCTGTTTCGCCCACATTGTAATGAAGGGATGCTCTGATGAGCGCTTTCAATGATGGCGTCTCTCTTTCTCCTCTATGAACTTATTCCTTCTAGTGCTGTCGTAACGGATCCACCAACCCTGGAAGATATCACTTGTCCAGCAGCGTGGGTTGGAGTGGCCACTTCAGATGCAACGATGAAAGCCACTCTCTCCTCGACCGATGAGAGCAACTTCGAAGCTACGCTCTGCGAGCGAATCCCTTCAGGTAAACATCAATCGGGAAATGGGCGGACAATTATAAGCCAATCACAAACTATTCAAGGTTCTCCGTTACTTGGTCCCTACGTAAGCGGCGGTCCACGAATGGTCATCCAGTTCGGCACCACAGACAAGCTGCTCACCGACGGCCTTCGTCCGCATGGATTCAAAGCAAGAGTCGACTTCAAGACAGGTTCTTTTGCCAGCGAAATTCGCTTCAATAAAATATTTTGATTATTTATCAGACTCATTGTTGGGTCTGTTCACTATTCGCGCGCGATCACAATGTGCTGCCATCTGGGAAAGGTTTTCTAAGAGAAGGAAACACGACAAAATAAAGTAAAATTCCAGCCACAATCAGTAATAATCCCATCTGATCCCCCTCGTCAGTCCCTTCGCGGCCGCTCGCGTCGGTGGTGCGTGAATTGTGGGCATTGCAGATTGTTACATATGAGAAAAAACTCGCATTTCTAGTTACTATTCTGGTTAGAACTGATTGCAACGACCAAACATTCCAGATTCGGTTGTGTTGTGTTGCTGGCGAACCGATGGGCACATCAAACGAGTGCCTGTTCCGATTTCGAAGCCCCATGGGTTTCTTCAATAGCCCAAGATATCCAGCCAATGTGAGTGATAGACAATCTATATAGCACATAGAAACAGTCAGTGAATAGTCCAAAAATGATTTACCACACAGTGTTCACCTCTTCAAAAATTATTCGGTCATTCAGCTTGCAGTTATTTAGTTAAAATGCTAAAGTAGGGTAAGGCATGTGTCCTTTACAACACCGCCAGCTGGAAAGGGGGGGGGGGGAAGTGGAGGCAAGGAAGGCGCTCACGTGACTTATAGAGGACGTGTGACTTGCATTAAAGGACGAATTCACGATGAAAAAGCAACCCATTTCAAATTAACCTAGGGATGGTGAGTGGTACACGAAAGAAGGAAGAACCATGAGAAACGGCCCAGAACCCGAGAAATGGTACCCCTTCCTTGCCCGTTGATTCGAGCATTGATGCGACTCTCATCGCTGTGCCCTCTTCAACACTACGCTCTCTCAGCTATCTAATCACTCAGCCAACGCGCGAACGGGGACGGCCGAGTGACGATGATGCGTCGTGGGCGGAGATCGCCGCGACTCGCCAGCTTTCGAGGCCATTGATAGGCGTCGCGGCACCTGTTCAAATTTTTCCAGGCCTAATTAGCGCGTCATGTTCGCAGCACTCACGGAGAAGTCCCGTGCGCGTCCTCAACTAGGTCAGTTTCCCTTTCTTCGACGTTCATTCTAATCGTGAATTCCTCCTTTAATGATTGTACTAACAATGATGACAAGTTGTAAACGGTGATAACGGTGATACCAAGCGCCAACGTCCAATTGACCTGAGTAAATGTGCGGTGGAATATGATAAAAGTGGCGAGAGCAGAGGAGTGCATATTGAAAATATCCAAAGCATAAAACCCCGCTTCAAGCCTAGAAAAACAGCAAAACTTGCGTTCAGAAGGCCACTCTGCAATTTAGGCGTAACAGTTGAAAAGATTTCAGATCAGATCTTCCTAGGCAAATGCACTAATCACAATGACTGTAGGGCGGTGTGGTTTCGTTGGCGCCATTGAACGCCATTGGTGAACTAATCCCCTTATGGCGCTAGATCTCTCGTTGAGACCGCCTCTTTACGACTATCCACCAGGATCAACAGTGCGTTCGCACTATTTGAACAAGGGGGCCACATTTGTGGTTGATTTCAGAAAGGGGGATGGGTCGCATTCAGAGGTTGATTGGGATTAGATGGGTTGGGTGGATGGCGAGGCGATTTAGATTAGTTTTTGAGGGATTTGTTGGGTGGGCGCGCGTAGGATAGGTGGGAGGAGTGGGAGGAGAGGAAATTTGCGGCTCCGTCTCATTGCACTTGGAAAGCCTCCCCCCTGGCCCCCCCCCGCCGCTGCCACTCGACAGCGCTTTGGAGGGAGAAAGTGGCGGCGAGTTTGCCCAGCTGGTTCGCACGGTGGGTCTCACAATCACATTGAACTATAGCAAACTGATGCATTCTGGCTGAGGGTGTGTGGTGCGGGTGTGTTGAAGGGAGAACGTGTCTGCGTCGTATTAGGGAGCCTCCTAAGCCTCATGGTGGGGCTTGCGGGAGCTCGCCTATCGATTCTCAAAATTTTGTGATCCCTCAAATTATAGGGGAGGTCAGCAATAATTTTCTGAAATTCGCGAGCCGTCGCGGTTGTTTGTAGTCCTAGCTAGCCACCAATTGCTAAGTCGAGTGCCGTCAGCAAAAACGCAGCGCCTTCCAGGCCATCGTGATCACCGCAGATAAAGTCGTTCATTCTCTGGGACTTATGGTTACAAGCACAGTACTACATGTGGATCAACTATTTAGTATCCATATTGTTTTCAGTACCCGCTTGACACAAATTGCACGTATTTCATAGAAGGTGAAGTTGGTCAACAGATTCTCATACACTTCGAGGCACGATGTTGGCAGCGTCGGGTAGTAGCAAGGAGGAATCGTTAAGTTATTGTTCACTGCATCTACATTACGCTGGAAATTGTGTTATGAATCTCGTTGTGGTATACTTGAAAAAAAAAAACTAGTAGGGGCAGCAGCGTCGGAATTTCCGTGGCGCCTATCGAAGATTGGAGCTGGTATTTTAATAAGTCTGTTTTTGTTCTGCTAAATGTGAGTACTACTGCAAATGAATAGGGCATCAAAACAGCTGCTGCCCTATTCATTTGCAGTAGTACTCACATTTAGAGCTGTGTAAGGGCATGGCCCCAGTTTTACAAAGGTTAGATCCTTGCCAGGTTGCGCGAGGTCAAGGTTTGAATCCTCGAAAAGGTAAAGTGTTTCTGTGCCCAAAACTCGGCATTGTTGTGGTGAATAATGTGGCTCATTAGTATCAAAATATCACGTGGAGTCCTTGCTTTTTATTCGTTTTACATAGAATTTATTTGTAGGCACATCCCAGGGTGCGTTCAGGTTCTTCTTTAACGGAATTGAAGCTATCCATGATAGTTGCAGATGTCGCAGCTCGAATGTGCACGGCAAAGGTCCTACGGCCGTTCCAAGAACGCTTCTGTTGTGTTTTTCCTCTTTCGCAAAACGCCGGTGTCTGCACTCTCTCATCTGTCGTGCTCTCTCGCCTGTCCTCTCTTCACCCTGCGCAGTGTCTCAACACTTTCTTAATCTTAATTTTGATTTTGACGTTTTCGATGGACTCTTATCCATTTTACGTTACCACCGGTTCACTTCGCAACACTGCTTTCAATTTCGTACGCGATAATAGCATCAATTTCATTGTGCAAGGTCCCTTCAAGTCCAAATTCAATTCGACTTCAGTCAGAGCCAGTTTTCGAACCTCCCAATTTTCTTCCAAACACTCTAGCAAATGAAAATAACTTATAAATTGTTTATTTGAAAGACTCCGAATTTTACCATTTTTTTTGGCGATCTACTTCCACGAATTTGAGCCTTTCATAGTTCCGTGCCCATTTTGGAGTACTGGTGCCAACTTTTTCTGAAGAGCTTATTTGTGATTTGCGTTTAATTTACCGCCATTTCAGGTGTAAGGACTGGCTGGAGATCTATGATGTGTTCCATGAAGGCGCTGAAGAACGTCTTGCATTACGAGGTATTTTTAACCACAAGAGTGATTTTACTATCTGTTGGTTCCATGGAAAACGATGTAGCCAACCTTCAGAACGCTACTGCTCGGACACTTTTCCCGGCCCAACGGTGTCCGCTTTTGGCGCTCATTCGATGCGTGTCATCTTCAGTTCGGACTCGACCGGTACTGGGAACGGCTTCAAGGCCCTCTACGAGATTCGGCCGGCTGCTAAAGAGGACATTCCCACACACGGTGCGAAAAGTCTTTTCATTCTACCAGCGTTTCCTATTAATAATACAAAATCTCCGTAGGCACGAGGCGGCGATTGGTTTGATCCATTCTAAGAAGAGGTGCATTAATGGTAACGTGTTTAGTTACTCTAGTCATTTGGTCCCCTTATAATTTTTGAGGACAAACTTATGAATGCAGCCGCCCTGCAACCGCACGCGTCGGCAACCTACCGATGCTATGATTCCGCATTAAGGAACAGCACAAAGTGTCATTTCAGAAACGAAAGAACCAAAAGGTGAAGGAGCGTATCGATGTGGACGACGGATTAGAGCCAGTGCTACAACTCCTACTGGTTATGTAATGTCACCCAATTACCCTATCAAGTATAATAAGGACGTGCATTGTGATTGGGAAATAGCAGCCAGGGATGGGCATAAGGTACGGTTCAATCTGTTTTATTCTACTTATCTTAGATAATTTTTATTATTTTTGGTTCCATGCTCGACTCTCGATGAACCTGGGCATGTTAGTGATTGGATGGTGTAACTTTGTCCATGTCAGGAATCCAAAAATGAACCGGAGGGAAGAATGCCTGTCAATTACGCGGGAGTTAGCCCCATATATAAGCCTGGCTTTCCAACCGGTACCCTGAATACGGTCCACCCGAAGTCTTACTGTACTGTGCTTGTCGTTGGCTGATCCAGTGGATCTGGTAAAGGTACGGTGTTTCTTCTCCCTTGTGATTACGTGATGATTAGGTGGTGTCGAAGATCTAGTAGGTGTGTGGAGATTTTTGGTCGGATACTCATAAACTCGACTTCCATCCTTTTAGGCTCCGAAGAAGGCGAACTCGCCGAAA